ATTGATTAGAAACCTCCCCTCAAATTGATTTGCAGGTTCCCTGTATTGCTGCAAATCGGAAAGGCCAAGCTCACATAACCTTTATGCGTTCTTCTTTGCCAGCGCAGATTTGTTCCCAGGAGTCCGGAGTATAACTGATTGTCTCTAAATAAAAGTTTTATCCTTTCCATACCAAACTTCATATCTGACTGATGAAATATGACTTTGGATAGGAGATGAAGAACTTTCAATCGGACCAAATTAGAAACACATTTCATATTTGGATTTCAGTCGCAAAATCTGATGTTGAAATGTTTGTGGGAACAAGCGCCAAAAATCAGCTTAAAGGCAAACTCTAAGGGCCATTTATGCATTGCAGTAATGCATGGCGGGTTTTTACCGCACTTTACCGAAATGCACCTTGACTCTAAACACAGAGATCAGCAGATATTGTCCTCATACAAGATCCATGTGTGTTCTTCTTGAATCTTGGGGAGCTTTGTGTATTTCTTCCAGATCTGTGCAGTAATCCCGTGTGAGACTTCCTGTAATAAAAACCGGTCACTGCTGCTCTCTCTCCTTATGCAGGGTGACTGGTCTTGTCTCCACCCCCTTCTGTAAAAAAAAAAACGGTTACTGCTCCTCTATCTCATTGTACAGGGTGACTGGTCTTGTCTCTGCTCCCTCCTGTAATAAAGACCGGTTACTGCTCCTCTTCCTCCTTGTGCAGTGTGACTGGTCTTAGCTTGGCCCCCCTCCTGTAGTTTCCTGCTGGCCAGTAGTGGGTGGAGCCTGCTGAGTCCATTCCATAGCTGGCTATGTGCAGCTCAGTAATGATGTCACTGCTTCTCTTCATAGATAGCACGGTAGGTAATAGGTAGTAGAAGAAACATACAGATGAAATGCAGATTTGAAAGCTGTTTCACCTGCCAAAAGATTTGTGTTTCTGTTTGTCCAGTTCTGAAATTAATCATATTCTGCCCCACAGTACAGCCCTGGGACTTGCTTTGTCTGCTGCAGTTTCAGTTGCACTTACAAGCCTCAACCCTAGTCTGTGACTGAACAGTGAAGGGAGCACAGTGATGAGCTCATCTCTCTTTCACTCTGTTTTCTCCTTCTTTCAGCATGAATTGCAGCACAACTGACTATCTCCTTGTGCTGCTCTCCCTCCCCCTCCCTGAGCTTTGCTGTACTGCAAAAGGCTTATACCAAGTTATAATTAGGTACCTACACTGCTTGCATTTAATGGCGTATTAATGATTACATGAATTTGTGTCCTTTACATCTCCCTGGAGGTAAGCCTTGCCTTTTACTTTTTGTCATTTTCCATTAAATACAGATGACCTGAGAGTCACCTCTATGACAAAGCACTTTGCAGCGCCTTTTCTTTGCAATCCAGTTGCAGTCTCTGTTGATTCTCTTCCATATGAAAGGCTTTTGGAACTGCTATGCAATCTGAGTCATGAAGTGACTTAGAGCATATTAAAGGTATAGTCCACCTTGAAATGCATACAAGGACATAGAGCCTACCTGCTCGGGGCATTTCCTAAAGTGCTCCCCACTCTTGTATGAACACCACCTACTGAATTATATAAAGGTCAAGAATCTTAATCCTTCTCATTAGTGGATATTTTATGTCCTTCAACCAAAGAGAGGAAGAGGGAGGCTGTACAACACAAAACCATGTGACCTCAAGATCCATGGTGTAGAATAATGGTTGCAGAAAGAGGGCAATCAAATGGACCTTCAAACCCGTTTTCTGGGTAGTAGCAGTTCACCAACTGGTTTCACCGGCAGCTCAGTGGTTTAGTGGTCATGTCTATAAAGGTTCTTCATCCATCCATTCATCATATATCCAGGTCATGGTGTAGCGAGTAGTAGTCAGTTACATTCAACTGGACTGGTTCTTTAATGTTGAAGATGTTTTGTAACTTCTCTGAACCACTTAAAGAGTTCTGATGAGTGTCAGGATGATAACCCTTAGTGGTCAGCACTCCTGCCTTGGTGCACTAGGATGCCCCGGATTGAATCCTGGCAAGGATTTTATCTGCATTGAGTTTGCATGTTCTCCCTGTGCTTGTGTGGGTTTCTTCTGGGTCCTCTGGGTTCCTCCTATGTTCAAAAGACACGCTGCTGGGTTAATTGACTCCTGTCTAAAATTGGCCCTAGTATGACATCCTACTTAGCACTCCCATGATGGCTTTTGCATGTTCTCCCTGTGCAGAAACAGGGCAATGAAATGGCCCTTTAAACTCATTTCCTGTGTAGAAGCAGTTCACCAACTGCTTTCACCGGCAGCTCAGTGGCCTAGTGGTCATGCCTGTAAAAGTTTTTCATCCATTGATACAGGTCAAGGTGTAGCCCTGGCCAGGATAAAAACCAGGGACCCTAGTGTTCCAAGGCAGGAGTTCTGACCACTAAGGGGTATCTTCCTGACACTCATCAGAACTCCTTATGTGGTTCTTAGAAGCTACAAAACATCTTCATCTTTATGTCCTTCCCTGTGCTTGCATGGGTTTCCTCCAGTTCCTCTTGTTTCCTAACACGTTCAAAAGACATGCTGGTGTTAACTTGCTCCTGTCTAAAATTGGCCCTTGTATGATATTCTTCTTAGCCTGCCTAACATGGCTGCCCCAACACCAATTTGATGAGTACTTTAAGTCCCCAGGGAAGAAGTCAATTGAAGAATCTACAAAACATCTTCAGCATTAGAGAACACGCCCTGCCCCAACACCAATTTGATAAGTACTTTTAAGTCCTCAGGGAAGAGGTCAACTGAAGTCCTCCCATGTTCAAAAGACATGCTGGTGGGTTAATTGACTCCTGTCTAATATTGGCCCTGGTATGACATCCTGCTTGGCGCTCCCATGATTGCTTCCCAGCATCTGATGAGCACATTGAGTCCCCAGAGAGAACAGCACTAGATACGTAATGATAACTTCTTATTTGTACATTATTTCAAGAGAATTTAGGATAAACAATGAAAAAAGAGAAAGAGTGAGTGCACATAACGTGACCTTAGTACCGTAAGTTTTTCCTTCCTTGTATCCCAAGTGAAGCTCTAGTTAGGTATCAAATAAATTTTGCATATGGTGTTTAAAATTCACTATTATTATCTGATTTTTTTTTTTAATCAGGGAACAAACCGGATTTAACCCCTAATGGGGTTATCTGTGATTCCTGCTTTTCAAGAAATTCTGACACGTGCACTGTGAAAACGCCAATGAACTGCACAGGAGATGAAACTTACTGTGTCCATTATTTGGCGTGGAGGGATGGAGGTGAGATATTCTTATTTATGAGTCAATAAATCTGTGTTCAGAGTAATGTGTAAATTGTCTATGCTGACTTCTTGCAAAATGTCTGGTTGCCTGGCTGTTATGCTGATCCAATAGTTGAATGCCTTCTTAAAGGATCAGTCCTTCCAAATCTCTTAGGTGGACAGGAATAAGCTCAGGATTTATGGCCAAGAGACTTATTGAATATTATTGGTTACATAGGGGAACTATGGTAGTATTGTACCCACTACTTAAAATTCATGACATCCCCAAGCCTTTTTTTTTTTTTTTAGTTTGGATAGAGCTGAGAACGAATAGAACCTCTGTCAAGTCCTTAATGCTATTTGGGGCTCCTTGAAGGAGAACTATGAGGTGAGTGAAAATCGTTCATCCTCATAGTTCAAGCTGACGTGTGACAATGAAACTGTCACACGTCGGCTCAATAGATCGGGAAGTGAGCGAACACATTACGTCGCTCGCTCACTTCTCTATCATGTCCCTGCAGAGAGCTGTGACTGTCACTCACCGCTCACTGCAGGGATTCCCCCCCTCCCCGCTCCGATCCTCCAGCACTGACTGGAGGAACGGGCAGGGAGGGGGTGGGTACAGCTGGCTCTGCCTCTATATAGGCAGAAGCAGCTGTCACTCACGCAGCTGGGTGGATATCGACAGTAATGTTGGGATCTGTTCCGGCTGTGGCGGTCTCAGTATACCAGGAGCTGTAGCTCGGGATATACTGAGCTTTGGAAAACAAAACTTGCCGCACTCCTCACCGGGACTCCCCCAAAAAAGACGGGTGCTCGAAATGACTGCAGATGGCGCCGCCACACGTAGACAAAAAGGAAGACGTCACCAGCACTCCAACAACGATAATAACAGAAATTAGGTGTTCATTTATTGACAGATGCTGTCTCTCATTGGCAAGTGCATTCGGGGCCACACAGAGTCCCCTTCGTCAGGCTCGGAGATGACTAAGCTTTGGGTCACGGAAGGACGCTAGTTTATGTCCTCCCGTGGCCCTTAAGAGAACTATGGGGAAAAACACTTACCCCATAGCTCTCTTTTAAGAGCTTATGTTGGTGGGCTTTGGACTTGAGCTGCTTCTGGGATCCTTCAAAAATCCATTGGTGGGTGCATTTGACCTGTAGTTGACCTCCTTCACAGATGCATTTGACTTGCTTCAAGCGGGTTTTGCATTCCCATAGACTTGTATGAGAATTTAACTCCAGACCCTCTATTCCCTGCTGCCCCGAGGCCTGGCCTTGGTTGGCCTTGCGGGAAATCCGGCCCTGGTTGTGCCCCGTGTCAGATTTTCCCTCACTTTCTGTCTAATAAAACCCTGTCATCCGAACAGGAAGTGAGGGGAAATCTCTTTAATGGATTAGTAAAAACCCATTTGGGTTCCTCTATCTTCCCCACATCATCCAAAACGAAAGAAAAAAAGTTGCTAGACCTTCACGTGAAGGGAAAGTTGAATTAACATATTTCTCTGAGTGAGCTGCTGTTATGGAGCATGCTGTTATTTTATTTATGAACTCTTATATTTTCTTGTAATCATAATTTAGTTTTAAACAATGCGAAAGAGGAACTGTTTGTATACATGCCGTAGGTCCTGTTGATGTCCTAGAGGAAGGGTGGATGTTCCATTTGAAGGCATGGACGGTGGGCTTATTGACTTTGCCGTTTGCTTTGTTTAAAAAATGTACCAGGCCTTAATAAGTTGAAGGACGCTGACACAACATCTTAAAATCATCTCAGTAAACTTCTGGCAGGGAATTAAAGTGAATTTTGGAAACACCCAAAGAGGAAGCATTTCCTCCAAAAAAAAAATTCTTTTTTATTTGTTCCAAAAATGTAAAACAGTTAATGCTTGGGACATGATACAATAATAATGTCATTAAATATATGATGACATGGGGTTGATTTACCTTTTTAAGGGAATTAGCAGGTGGCTAGGGAATTTTTCCCTTAGCTTGAATGTGGTAAAAATTCACTTTAGAGAGATCCCCACAAAGAATTGTACATGGTTCGATGTCGGAAGTCAGCAAAGCTTCACCCTTTTGGACAACTCCTTTGCACTATCTATCTATCTATCTCTCTTTATCTATCTATTATCTGTCTATTGATCTATCGATCTATCTATCCATCTACAGTCATGTGAATAAGAAAGGCCATCCAGTCATAGACTTTTCACTGCCTAAGGTTGAGTGGTGGTGGTGGTGCACCTTACCCTGGAGCGGAAGGTATTGATGGTGCATATTACTAGGTGGTGTAAATGGTGCACAATACCTTTGGCTCTGGTCGGTGTCCCATCCAGCTCACTAACATCACTAGTTGCCAGGAGCTTGGCAGATGATGGAAAGAGATGCCGACTGAGGCAACAGCCTCAGGCTACAGTCCATAAACCCACCGCACTCAGAACCGCTATTCTAAAATATTAAAGTGGGTGCTGCGGCTGTCGACGGATCACTTGTTCTACCTGATGAAGGGAATCCTGTGAGACCCCAAAACGTTGCACTGAGTGTATCATGCTATGTTTCATGCGGCAAAAAAATAGACGCATTTGATTTGTTATTTGGAGTCTATATTTCTACTTCACAGCCTCAGGCTGCATCATTACTGTATACGGATGGCTCTGTATCTATCTATTGGTTATATATCTACCTACACTTTATGGCCATAAAAGCATGTGGGGCTTTCCAAAACTTTGGGTTCAGATGTTTTTTTTAGTGAAAGGTACTGTTAATGCTAATGCATACAGTTTGGTAAAGGTCCTTTTCTGTTCCAGCATTACTGTGCTACTGTCTACAAAGCCAGCTTCATAAAGACATGGTTTTACAAGTTAGGAGTGGAGGAACTCAGGTGTCCTGCACAGAGGCCTGACCTTAACCCTACTGATGACCTTTTGGATGAATTGGAATGCTGATTGCGAGCTAGCACTGCTCATCCAACATCAGTACCTGACCTCACAATTGTTCTTTTGGCTGAATTTCCACTTCCCACCCCAAAATCTGGAGAAAAACCTTCTTGGGAGAGCAGAGGCTGTTATAGACACAACTGTGTGAGTGAGTGTGTGTGTGTGTGGTGGGGGGGTCCATATTAATCCACTCCATATTAATGTAGATAATTTTGCATTATTCAGCTTTAAAATTCTCCCCTGCCAATGCTAAGCTCCTTTCTTGTCATTGAACTGTCCAATGACAAAATTTCATGGGACCCTTGTACAGCAGCACATGAACAAATGGCATGTTCTCACATAGGTAGGGCATAATCTTGAATTAGACAAAACTCAAAGCCCCAAATTCAGCCAGGGCCTAGGATACCAAGGCCTTTATTGAGATTGAATTGAAGAGTAACACAGGGACTTGCAGGCACCACAAAGTGACTTTTTAAATCTGACCAGGTTCACTTTAAAAGAGATTACATGAGAAAAACAGATTTCATTCCTCTGCACTCGTTTATCAGTGTTCCATGGAACAAAGCCTTGCGTTTCCCTGAAAAAATAACACCGGTGTTCTTTACTGATCAGTTAATACAACATAATAGAAAAGAGGAATGTTGGCAGTCATTCCTGTGAAAAATACATTTGCAAAGAGAAAAGGGCGGATCGAGAAAGAGTGGATCTAGGTGTTTTGTTTCGAGAAATAGACCCACAGTCAGTATACATTCTTTTTTGGGCACTTCAAGAATAGCTATTTTTTACCTTTAGCTCACCTTAAAGGAGTAAATTTCATTCATCCCCATAGTTAGAGCCGACATGTGACATTGAAACTGTCACACATTGGCTCTGTTGATTGGGAATCGAGAGAAAACATACCGCCAATCTGCTCACTTCCCGATCGTCCTCCTGCAGAGAGCGGTGACTGTCAGTCACTGCTTCCTGCAGGGATTCCTCCTCCTCCCCACTCTGATCCTCCAGAGCTGACTGGAGGGACTGACAAGGAAGGGGGCGGGCATAGCTGGCTCTGCCTCTAGATAGGCAGAGCCCGCTCTCAATCAGCCAACGGGGTGGATCTCGACAGTATTGTCGGAATCCATCCTGGCTGTGGTGCTCTCAGCATATAGCGGTCTATTGAGTTCTGGGTCATGGGAGGACGTTGGTATATGTCCTCCCGTGACGCAAAATAAACTATGGGAAAAAAGGTTACCCCAGAGTTCTCTTTTAACTCTTTCATCACTTTCAATCCTCATACATCACTTTCAATCCTCATACAAGTTTACAGGTATGCTATTATACCTTTTCTACCTGCATACAAAGACATTGGAGACAATTGTGTGTGTGCTCCCAAACCTATAATAACAGTATGGTGAAGGCCCTTTTTTGTTCCACCATGACTGTCCTCTGTGCAAATGCAGCTACATAAAAACATGGTCTGACCAGTTTGGTGTGGAAGAACTACACAAAGCCCTGACCTCAACCCCTTCTGAACACATGACTTCAAAATGGGCACAAATTTCCACAGACACTCTTCAAAACCTTGTAGAAATACTTCCAAGAAGACCAAGAAGAGTGAAAGCTGTTATAGCCTCACAGAGGGTACCAACCATAATTTTGTAGGAAGGTTTGGAATGGGATGTTAATTCTTCTGCATGCAAAGATATTTTAGACTATTGTGCACTTCCAATCTTGTGGAAACAGTTTGGTGAAGGCTCTTTTCTGTTCCAACATGACTGTCCCATGTGTACAAAGCCAGCTCCGTAAAGACAGGTTGTGACCAGTTTGATGTGAAGGAACTCTGACCTTAACCCTAAATGAATACATTTGGGATGAATTAGATTGCAGATTGTGAGTCAGGTCATCTCATCTAATATCAGAACCTGATCTCACAAATGTTTTGGCCACGTGAACACAAATTCCCACAAGCAAAACGAGGTGGTGCGGCTTTCACATATTCTGCAGAAGATGTGTATCTAAACCTCTGTTTATAACCTCAGTGGTAGACAAGTTTTTTTGCATGCTGGCTGGTAAGTGTGCTGGGAAACTTTTTGCTGATACCCATAAA